GATTGTCAGACCTCTTGTTACCAAACTTTCTAAAATCAAACTCCAGCGATACCGTAGTGCAGTGCTCCCTAAAACGTCCTACGTAGCTACGCATTCAAGGTAGATATATCTCAAAACACATTTCTATATAGCGTCACATTTATTGTTTTGGCGTATTTGAATGACAACACTCATTGTTGCATTTATTGACAAAAAAGTCACTGGGGAAAGTAATCTGGGATTTGTGATATGATTGATTTGGTGACTGTTGACAGAGCACTCAAACAGACAAATTGCCATCTTATTGCTCTAGTAAAACCTAGTACTGGAAACATATCACTGCGTTTGCTCGATTTCAACAACTGGTCTAAAGAACTTAATTAATATCGTTGCTGCCAGTTATGAAACATGAAATAGTGCCTTTTAAACAGGACTAGTTTACTTTAAGTGACGACGTTTCAAGTCGATGATACCGTTGGCAGTGGTTGGGCTATCGGTAGACTACATGTTGTGTATATCGAATGACAGTAATGGTGAATTAGTAAACGAATGAATTTAACTGGATTAGTTAATATGCGAATTGACACGGACAATCTTGTGACCTACAAAGCTCGCCTGGAAAGTCACTGAGTGTCATGACGGACACAGGAATGAAGGAGTAGAGTGAACGGCGCATGCATTGGTGTCAAGAGGATGTTGGGGTTTCAGCATCCTCCAGACTATATCTGGCGAGCTTCTAATATACTGAAACATTTTCAGGCCTACATGTCAGACCCATATACATAGTATCGATCTTGTCTCTCTCGTTAACAACACGTTGACGTTTGTGTCAATAAAAACGGAGTGAAAGATGGCATTTTTCTTATAATTGTCAGCCTTTTCACTTGACTTGGCTTGGTTCAGTGATTCACACTTGGGCATAACTGTATAGACACATGCAAACAAATGATCGAATCTGGGGTTTCGCAAAGAACGTTAAAAAATGGCCATATGAAAACCTGACTTTAGTTTTCATGTCAGAAGCTTGCAGCATTGCGGTTTTACTTCAATATTTAAGCTGATCCTTTGCTTTTTTATTTGTCAGTTCAGACCTGCAAATTCTACAGACCAATGCACTAGCATACGTCAGAAAGTATTGAGTCTTAAGTTGCACCATGAGAACTTCAAATTTTAGTTGCATTTTTTCGAAAGTGGCCCAGTTTTGAGCTAAATGTGTTCCGTCAAATATTCACATGTTCGAACAACGATGACGTGGGTGTGCGAACCCGGGAAAGGCGTTGAGCACTTGTAGCACATCGAAATTTAGACGAAGCAGTGACGTGCAGCGGTTGACACATCGCAGACTATGGCACATTCAGATGTCTAAATGGGAATTTAAACTATTTGTAGAGCCATCTGCTATTTGCGGGAATCCTCCACCTCCTTTCCAGAAAGCTGGACTTTCTCCGTTTTCTGAATTATCGTGTCTATGAAGTTATTGGGCAAACAGAAGGTTGCCTCAGCTTCAACATTGTTTGTACCGCTGACGGTCGAATGTGGGTTAACATTGTAGGCACCAATCACAGTCTCGTGACGCTTTTTGCGCTGTTGCTGAATTCCTTGACACCACATGATTGATTGGCTGGCGCTTACGGACGAAGGTGGTGCAATGCATTTGCGCTCCAGTTGAGGTGGCTGGTAGAATTCTGCTCACAGTCCACCAATCACAGGTCGACGCGACAGAAATGCTCCATGCAATGTTGCCAATAAATATGAACCAGAGTCTGGAGTACCAATATTGTTGCAAGGTCTGACAAGAGAAGACTTTTGGTTGGCGTATTGCATCAATAAGTGCACTCGTGGTACTACGTTATGACGTGAGTACAATAAAACAGCTCTTATCAGGAGCGTATGTTGTGGGGATTAGCCATCCAATAGCATATAATTCGACCACTTCCACAGCCAATGAAACAGCACAATTCAAAGCAGCATAAACACAAGTAGTAAGAATTTTTCCTCACATGCTGCCATCTCTTCAAATAAATCGTTTGCGTGGCCTCTGGGTGCAGATGATTCCAGTAATAATAATAGTCCTCTCGTGTTCTCTCCGGACAGGTAGTTCACGTCAAATTAGGCAATATCGCTCACTTACACCTTTAACAATTTCGATAAAATTTATCATCGCAGTCGACCCTCAGTTCGATATTGACATAGAATTTACGTTGGCTGCTTAGAAGGACATTTGTGAGATAGCTCGACTCCTTCGAATGATTTGTAGGTAAAATAACTGCAATTGTATTCATACTGACAGGCGTTCATATAGGCCCTGCGTGGAGCTGCAATGTGTTTCAGTACAAATGTGGAATGGTTCACGAAACAGTCCTAGGACCAAAACTTACCTCTGCGAAATAGGCCCTGAAGAATTGGTCTATGTGGAAGCACTTGGTTAATTATGTTGAAAGCGGTTTTTCTCTACCAACGAACATAGAACTGGAGACTGCACTAAAGCACTCAATGGATTAAATGTCGTTGCGCTGATCCTATGACATGCGTTAAGTGCAGGCCGAGTCTGCTTAATGTAAGCAAGATCACTGTATATTTACTGCAACAAATATTTAAAATAATGAATCATGACATCTTTGATATATAAAGCAACACAGTATGTTTTAAGGTGTGCACAATTAACAATTAATTTTTTTTTCGAGGAAAGATTCAGATTTTTTGCAAGATTTCCTTTCAAAACTTATGATTCACCTACTCGAAGTCATTCTCTACTTCGAATTTGAGGTTGATTTTAATCGGTGGTGTATTAAGGAACCGGGTTTGCATACTGCGTGATCTCACGTCTATGTTGAGAAAAACAAAATCCACACAGGCTGCTATGCTGATTGGCTGTTCATTAACACCAAAAACGCAGTATTTCCCCACTCCTCCTCCAAATCACCCCATGATTGATAGAGCAACTTCAATTTGTATCAGATGCACATATTTGGGTGTAGTCGTCCGTTATCGAGTATAATGCCTGCGACTATTTTATGCTACATTTGGAACACAAACCTCAGTTAGTAAGCCTTAAGGATGATAGTGTGAAAAGAGTTTGCAATGCACCATGACAATGCTAGCTAACTTACCTATCTGAAGTGTCAATGATTTAGTTTGCTGCACACTCCTGCCACCATATCGTGGTACAAAAGTCTGCCCAATGCGTCTGCGGCAGGCAGTTCCTTTGACAGGCCGTTCCGGGCTCTGTTGTTCTCCTATCCGCGATTTCATTGTTCCACCTGGAAATGTCGGGCATCCGAATGAGCCATCCTTTTCTACATTTGCCGGCAACTGCAAATTACGAGTGCCTGGAGTTTGTCTCGAAGGAATATGCGTTGAAACGTCTGACGAAATGCACCATTTCGACATCTGCAACTTTGTTTGGTCATGATGTTCTCATGGGAGGAGCAACGATCACTTTATGCAAAACTTTTGACTCTTGATTAAGTCAACCCAGATTGATAGTCCGAACTTGCATAAACACGATGATATGAAATCATCCTAGCCATCTTCATTTAGGCCAATTTTGTACTAGTGCACATGCCGCCAGAATAAATATATCAGCTGACGTATGCTTCATTGATCAACGGGAAAATAGTGGACGTCAGCAGCAGCTTGTGCTAGATTACCTGTGCGACTAACCAAGTATCGTTATGCTTAAGCTCAAAGACTAAAAAAGCACGATAAATGATGGTTTTTACATCGGTTATTCGGAGTGAGTGTGTGAAGGTAGAGCCAAGCATCTAAAGCGCATCATCGCTGGACACGAGATCATCACGAAAGGCCTCCACTCAACGCTAAAACCAAGTATGCAATGTATTTCCGTTTTGTTGGATCCTGTTCATTCATAGCTTCGTTAGCCTGGTAATGTAGCCATCGATAGTTAGCGGAGTGTGTGTGTGTGTATGTTTGTGCTAAAATGTGACAAACACAGCAAGAGCAGCAGCACCTTGTGATCAAAACCACGTTCCGATGCATTTTAACCCTTTATTTCACCGCGCAACCAAATTTCTCCCACACATGATCCACTTGCAAAGCTACTGCCTACGCAATACATTCAATGTGTAGAGTAGGCGTTTATATGTATTTAGATCCGTGATTTCTTACCAACGCAAGTAATTCGTGATGTGCAGAGAAGTGCGGTCGCTCCGAAGTACATGCTAATGTAATTAGTGAGCAGATCCAGGATTAGAATAAACTTGATTCCGTGTGCTGTTTCGGTGTTATTAGGAACCAATGGAGTCTCTAACTGCTCACTTCCATACTATAATTAAAGTGAGTATTTACAAGAATGCATGAGTCTTGAGCGTATGTTTTCAGAATGAGTCACTAAAAGTCGTGGCCAAGTCCAAAAAATCAAATCGTGCTTCAAATGCATTTCATAGGTCAAGAAAATGGTTGTCGTTGGCAGACAGTCAGAGTTAGTTGCATTGTTACGGGGACAGTGCCCAAAATTCCCATTTAGGTCCATGAGATAGGCAAATGGTATGAACAGCAGAACCTCTAATGGCTCCCTGAAAGGACATTTAGCTGAGATTGGAGCAAGATTTACTTCTTTTGTGTTGGCAAATACAATGACCTTCATTTTGGAGGAAATATCCAAACAGATCTGCTTTTCAAAAGAAAGCCGCAGATGTGGTTAATGCTTCATGAAGTGGCTCGGCTGAGGTGCAGCTCATGGCGAATTTTTACGGTAGTGTCCATTTTGCACAACCTTCGGCTTCATCAAGTACCCGACACTTGCTTAATCTTGTGCTTGAATGAAGCTTTTCCATAGATGGACTTTTTTTGCAAGGGGACACCTGGTCTAAAATTGAAGATTTGTGCGTTTTGCGTGTCTTCTAACAAACATCAGTACTTGAATAAAGGGTGTTGCGTTGGACTAAATTTGATTGTGCTGATGATATCATCACTCCACGAGCTTGAGTTGAAAGCTACACTGCTCTTAAGGCCTGAAGCTGATGTTGAATTGCAGTCTTGATACGGGGGTCGGCACCATCGACCTCTACGGCAACTGCACTCTCCACCATTCGGGTACATCAGCAGCCGCTCCTGAAGCCGCGGGAGTTCTCGCCCTAGCCCTCGAAGCTAATCCTGAACTGACATGGCGTGACATGCAGCACTTGATAGTGCACACTTCAAAACGCAACCACCTCTACGACAGAGAGGGCACTCACAACTCTACCATAAATGGCGCCGGCTTGGAGTTTAACCACCTCTTCGGATACGGCGTTCTAGATGCCGGTGACATGGTGAGGATTGCAAAGCTCTGGACGACGGTGCCTGAGCGCTTTCATTGCATCGCAGGTTTCTTCAGTGGTCGCAAGGTAGTCGCGGTGGGGAAGCCAAGTCAGCTGGAGCTATTCGCTGAATCTTGTCGTGATAACCCTGAAAGCCAGGTACGAATCGTTCGTCGGCAAATTATGGTTCTGCTTACTTGGTCCAATATAACATTTCACCTTCCTTATTTATTTTAATTCAGGTAAATTTCATTGAACAAGCCGAATGACAGCCTTGCAAAAATGACTTGTTCCTCGAAGACAGTATTTGGACCTTCGAGACATGCACTAGACATTAGGAACAACTGTCGTGGGTTAATTTAGAAAAATATAGATGCAGTACATTAACATAAATGACCATAAAACCACAAATGAGGGCAAAACCGAACCAAGAATCACCTCCTGAAAGAACCTTACGTAAACACCGTTGAGTGCACTGCTGTTCGTTGTAGCTTATCATTCAATCAGCTGTACCCAATTGCATATTTGCACTTAGGGCAACGCGACGGCATCTTTAATGATGTGATGAACTAGCTGGACCTCTGGTTTACGAGCTAGTGTCCTAAACTGAAATTTCGGTACTGTATGTCTCGTTTTCATTGGACGCTATGTCCACAGCCTCTCACTCAAGCATTCTCAACGGTGGTTGCAATGGGCAATCGACAGACATTCTATCGGTGTGCGAAAGAAGCTCAAACATTCACTTACGGTTACTAGCGCCAAAAAGCAAATATGTGCACTTGATGTTAATGGAGGCTGATTTATCAATCATGCAAAAGTTCAGAGGGAGGTGTTATAATTGGATTCACAAATTAACTAATCACAAAGTCAGTCATGAAATGGGTTAATAGGTTGCTTGTTAACAGAATTGTATGCCAGTGAACGCAGCAAACTTCGACAATTGATTTAAGAAGCTGCATTTATTGCCAAGGAAACATTCCCAGACGTCAAACCCAAACATTCAGGATGGCGAAACGCAACGTTGTGGAATTTGGTTGGAAATGCCATTTAATCGCGGTCTGGGGTAGGAGTTGATCGATCGTACCACAGTGAAAACCCAATATGTGGCCCACCCACTACCTTGCACAAATCGCTGTGAACTCTCTCACACTGCTCATCCACTCAGATAAATTACACAGTGCTCAAATTTGAGTACTACTCGGATTACGTGCGGCTTGAGTTGCTGAAGGCACCAAGGATTTTAAGA